ATTTAAATGAGGCAGAGTTGCACAAAGTCGTCAGCCTCCCTTTCCCTTCCAGAGTCATCAAAGTCCAGTGGCGAGGAAAAAGTCAAGATGACTGGGGATGGCCCAAGAGGCAGTGGATGACCTTGGCAGCTTTCTAAGCCCTCCGCAGCACCGGCTTCAGCCACCTTCGTGGCCTTTGGAACAAATTGTACTCCTCTGCCCATTCCACCAAGGGAAATTTTCACGTATTTGGAGTAGACATCCCTCTAACTCACTGATGGGTTTGAGCCCTGTTCGTTACCCTCAACCTGGTTTAGCCCATCTGCCATGATAATTTTTACCAGGGCGTGGCTGCTGTGAATACTACAGCTTCTTGGAGCCACAGGTGACGGTGAGGTGACAGGTGGACATCAAAGGTGGATGAGCTTGGCAAGCCCTCACACCAGAGGTCTGAACAGCACGTAGATCCCAATAATAGCAAATAGTTAACATTTATGTAACTCTTACTAAGTGCCAGGCACTATGCTAAGTGCACCACAATTAGCCTCTCATTTGATTGTCATAACCACCCTAGGACGTAGGGGTTATTATTATCATTCTTATTTTACAGATGAGGAAACTGAGGCAAACAGAAGTTAAATGATTTACCCAGGTCTCATAGCTAGTGTCTGAGGCCAGATTTGAATTCAGGTCTTCCTGGCTCCAGGCCCAACACTCTCTCCACCAAACCACCTAGCTGTCCCTAAATTGGGCCTTTCTGATCCCCCCAGTTCCTAGCGTCCTTCTTTCCCAATCTATGTGTATATTGCTTCTATACCACAGAATGTAAGCTCTTTGAGGGCAAGGAGTGCTCTACTTCTGTCTTTTTAGCCTCAGAGCCTAGTATAGTGCTTGGTATATTTTATGAAATGAAAAAATGCTTGTTGAATGAATGAAAGAATGACATATTTCTTTACAACCTGGCCCCCTCCTATTTTTCTAGTCGTATGACACATGACTCCCTTCCCTCTTCTCTCCAATTCAATCATACTGGCATACTTGCTGTTCCATACAGATTACATTTTATCTCTAGTCTCTACAACTTTGCTTTAGCTGTTGCCTACATCACGCATTTGCTTCTCCCTGCCCTTTGGAATCGCTAGTTTCTTTTAAGAGGCATCACAAGGGCCAGCTTCTACTTGAAGCCTTTCCTGGTCTCTGGAGCTTCTGTTACCCTCCTTCCCCAAACTGCCCAGTGCTCATTTTGTATCGACTGTGTATCTATTTTTGTATTTGATTACATGTACATATACATATACATACATATATATATATACACACATATGTATATCTATCCATCTATTTATCTGAACAACTATGGGCATCTAGGTGGTGAAATGGATACAACACCAGGTCTGGAGTCAGGAGAGTTCAAATCCAGCCTCAGACACTTACAAGCTGTGTGACCATGGGCAAGCCAATTAACTTTGTTTGACTCAGTTTCCACATCTGTAAAATGGTCTGGAGAAGGAAGTGGCAAACCATTTCGGTATCTCTGCCAAGAAAACCCCAAATGGAATCATGAAGATTTGAACACAACTGAAAATGACTAAACAACAACACGTACTGGACAGAGGAAGCTAGATGGCTCAGTGGATAGAATGTTGGGCCTAGAGTCAGGAAGATTCATCTTCCTGAGTTCGAATCTGGCCTCAGAGACTTACTGTGTCTTTGCCAAGAAAACCACAGAGGGGATCATGAAGAGTCAGGCACAACTAAAAAATGACTGAACAACAGCAACAGTGGAAGACTATATAGTCTCACCTATTAGAATACAAGCTTCTTGAGGGCAGCGATTCTTTCATTTTTGTCTTTGTATCATCAGTGCTTAGCCCAGCACCAAGTAGGTCTTTAATAAATGCTTGTTGGTTGGTTGAAAGAATTCATCTAATTCAATCCACTTATTTTACTAATGAGGAAATTGAAATAGAGAGAGGTAAAGTTACTTATCCAAGGTCACACAGGCAGCTAAGCATCAAGGGAGAGGTTTGACTTGACATCTCCAGTTCCAAGGCTAGTGAAGATCTCTCCTGTGCCATATGTTCCTTCCCCATTTTTTCTTCTCCTATTTATTCCCATCACATACTAGCTCTTCATTTGATAGAGAATGCGTTCCAGCCACTCTCTTCTCCTAGTATTGTAGCGCCTCAGGATTGTTATTATCCTGGTTGCCTAGCAAGAAGGGAAATAAAGCACCCACTAGGACATTGCATGGATTAATCATTTTCCCAATCAAGTCAATGAAAGGCTTAGTATTTGTAAGGGATAGTTATTACTCTTCAACATTAACATTCATTAATTAATCAGGACTATGGGCTCTTTGGATTGTGACTCACTATAACCTATAGCTTACTACATTATAATTTCATAAAGATGATTATTTAGTACATGGATGTTTTCATAATCACATGTTTTAGCTGCTATAAAAGTGCTTATGAGTTAGGCCTTCATAAATAGGTGATTAGTCCAGTTCTCTGCATTTCTGCAAAGGCAATGTTTAGCCAAGAATGCTGCATCACAGTACTGAATGAGTTATTAGAATTCATGAGGAGAAAACATGGATTCAGCAAGATAGCAATTAATTAGTACAGACAATTAGATGATGCTCTCTCCAGAGACAGTGTAGCATAATACCTTTATTATAGAATCATAGAGGAGACTAAGAAACTCCCTCCCTCTTTTCCTTCCTTCCTTGCTTGCTTCCTTCCTTCCTCTCTCTTTCTGTCTCCCCCTGTTTCTGTGTGTCTCTATTTCTCTATTTCTGTCTCTGTCTCTCTCATAGGGTTTAAATGCCCACTCTCACTATTGTCTGTCATCCTTCCTGTGAAGGTCAGTTCCTTGACCTGTATCTATTTGCCCAGCCTGTCTACCCCATTCTAGCTTCACTTGCTTCCATACTCAGCCTTGATCCCTTTGCCTGACGTTTTCATGTTTCACTAGCTGCTACCCTCTATTTTCATGTTCCATTGTTCCTGGTCTGTAAATCAGTAGCCCTGAGTATCCTGCACCATCTAATTTCTCTGCTGATACTCCTGGGCTGCTTAAAGTCACTGGAGAAAAATCACATCAAGCTGATTTTGCCACTTAGAAGTTTGTGGCATAGATAGCAGCTGCTGGGCTATTGCTGCCATTAGACCATCCTCCCTGACCTTTATTACACCCCCGTCTTGTTCCTCATACCAGTTGCTCCAAACTTCTCTTCTCCTTCCTCATCTGCATTTTTAGCAGATGATTTGGCCTCCTTTTTCTGAGAAGATTGAGGTTATTCTGGTGAGTTTCCTCTGCCATTTTTTTCAGGATCATCCCTCTTGCTCATCCTTACCTTTTCTTCTTTCCCTCTAGTTCTAGAAGAAGACAGAGCCCTACGCATTACCCTGGATGATCACTCTACACCTGCTCTTAAACCCTCTTCCTCCCTTTCCCTCTAGGAACTTGTTCTAGTCATCATCTCTGCCTCCTACAACTCAGTAAAGTGACTTTACTGATTCACATAGTGAATCAATGCTAGAGTGGAAACCAGAACCCAGGTCCTTTGATGTTGGATTCAGTGCTCTTTCCAGTCATCCATACTCCACTTGAAGACTTCCGTTGATGGGGAACTTACTACCTTGAAAGGCAAACCAATTCCATTTTTAAAAAAACAACCCTTCACAATGCCATGCCTTTCCTTTGAGAGCAAGGATAATTTTAAATTGTTTAATCCAGTAGAATTGGAAGCTCCTAGAGGAAAGCAATTTTCATTTTTGTCTATATTATCTCTGCTCTCCACCCCTCCGCCCGCCTCCAACGACCAATAATAAATGCTTATTGATCACAGAATCGTCCTCTTAGAGCTGGAAGGGAGCTTAGGGACTATATAACTTTAGCAGCCCTCTCATTTTACAGGTGAGGAAACTGAGGCTCAAAGAAGTTAAATGACTTTACACAGCTATCTATTAGTAGAATCAGAACCGGAACTAGGAAGCTCTGATTCCAAAGCCAGAACACTTTCCACCTTCCAAACTGCCTCCCTGGGATTGAACTGAATGAAGGTTGAATGAAATGGAATTAATGAAACGTAACTAATGCATGTCTTTCTCCCCTTATTTCTCCATTGCCTTTGTTCCTTTATTCAGAGGTTCTTAGTTGGGGGTCCCTCAACTTGTTTAGCATGCATGCATATGGTAACATATATATATATACATATACATATACATATACATATACATATATAGAGATTGAGATATATGGATATAAATATATAGTACATGATGTAATATGGATATACATATATAACATGATACAATAATATGGATAGAGATATATTAAATATATAACATGATACAATAATATGGATAGAGATACATTGTATCAGCATGGACACAGATACATATTATATGATACAATAATATGTATATAGCTGTGTTATATAATATGATACAATGTGGATATAGATATTATATGAGATAATACTATGGACGTATGGTATGTATACTATAATATGGATATGAATATAGTATAGTCTCATGGCTATAGATATGCTATATGATATAATCATATGGATAGAGCTATAGGATATATCTGATACGACAACATAGCTATAGAGATATATGATAATATGGTACAGATATATATTGTGATGTTACAACATCTAAATATGGAGACATGATTATGTTTCAGTATAATTGGCTTCCTTTCCAATCCTACGCATTTTGTCATTTGCTTTTAAAGGCATTATTCTGAGAGGGGCCTGCAGGCTTCACAGGCCCCTGCCAAAGGGTGGGTCCCGTGACACAGAGAAGGTTAACACCGGCCTCTTTACAGGACAGGCCGCCCAGGCTCCCTCGTTAATTTTGGCGGCCAATTGCTCCCGCAGCCTTTGCCCACAGCCAACATGGCGGCCCCTCCCTCGGTGACGTCAAGCGCCAGCAGCAAAGATGGCGCCCGGCCCAACTTCCTGCGCTGGACCCTAACAAAGATGGCCGCCCGCACTTCCTGTGCGGGGTTCTTGCCTCTAACAAAGATGGCGGATGCATGACAGGTTGCCCCACAGCCGGGACTCAAGTGGCCGCTTTCTGAGGGCGAGGTGGCTGTAAGTAACAGGAAATAAGAAACTATGTACCCATCTTTTATGGCAGCTTGTCTGTGACGTCAGAGACCTTCACAGCGGGGCGCCCCCTCCCTGGTCGGGTCCTTTCCTGTGGTATCATTGTAGTGGCTGGTGGACCGGAGCTGGGATGGCTTGGATGTGCTGTGTGACCTCCGGGTGGTCACTTGACCTCTCTGGTCCCCAGACTTTACCAGCCCCCCCACCTGCTGTGTGACCTTGGGCTGGTCTCTTGACCCCTGTGGTCTCCAGACCTTCCTCTGTCTCTCTGACCTGCTGTGTGACCTCAGGTGGTCACTTGACCTCTCTGGTCCCTGGACCTCATCTGCCCCCCCCCATCTGCAGTGTGACCTTGGAGTAGTCTCTTGACTTCTCGGGTCTCCACACCTCCCTCTGCCTCTGACCTACTGTGTGACCAGGGGGTGGTCACTTGACCTCTCTGCTCCCCAGACCTTGATTTGCCTCTGACCTGCTGTGTGTCAGTGTGGTACAGTGGAACATGTTGAGTTTGGGGTTCAAATTCTGACTTTGTCAGCTACTCTTTGTATGACCTTGAGCAAGTGAGTTCCCCTTTCTCGGCCTCGGTTTCCCCATCTATAAAGTTGGGATTTAATATCTTCTAAGGTCCCTTTCACATCCATTTCTATGCTGCCTGGAGGCAGCCAGCTGGTAGATGGAAAGAACACCTGACCTGGAGTCAGGAAGACCCAAGTTCGAATCCAGTCTCAAACACTTACTATCTGTGTGACCCTGGACAATTCACTTCACTGCTGCCTGCCTCAGTTTCCTCCCAGGGTAGTTGTGAGGACCAAATGAGAGAATATTTGTAAAGCCCCAGGCATATAGTAGGTGCTTAATAAATGCCTATTTCCTTCCTCCTCCAGCCTTTGCCGGCTTCAGCTTCCTCATCTGTAAAAATGACGAGGTCAGACTAGATGATTGCTTAAATCCTTCCAGCTCCAAATCTGTCCTACTAAGTTGCTTCTAGAGGCGATATCTTTCCAATTGATGGGTGTAAGAAAAATATCTGTAAAAGGCTTGGCGAGGGATGAGTGCCAGAAATATTCCTTCCCATCCACGGCTCCTTCATCCCCCTGTTTGAGCTTTCAGAAGATGCCTTTATTACGCTATTTAGTTAGGGATATTCATAGAATGTGAGTCCAACCTGCTCATTTCACAGATGAGAAAACTGAGGCCCAGAGACTTAAAGTGATTTGTCCCATACCACGCAGATAGCAAGAAGCAGAGGTAGGATTTGAACCCAGGTTCTCTGATTCCAAATCCAGGGATCTTTCCACTTTCTCTCCCTGCCTCTAATAACATGGTGGTTCATATTGTAAATCACTTTGACTCTCATTGACTGGCCAAAAATAAGTCCCAGGCCAAGCCCTACTTGGTCATTGTTTGGGTCTTGATTGGCTCAGAGTGAATGTAAACAGCAATTGTTGCAGTTTTGGCCAGAAACCCTGAGTGTTTTCCCCTCCCAGATTGATTTTTTTTTTTTTTTGGATTAGGTAAAGAGGCCATTCTCTTTCTCATTTCTTACCTAGCTTTAATCACTGAAGGAGTGTTGCCTCAGTCAAACTGAGACATGGGAAAGGCCTTAATTTATAATTAATAATTAATTATAATTAATTAAAAGTCAAGTTCTCCCACTGCATCCAGGGCCATCTCCAGTCGTCCTGATCTATATCTCGCCACTGGACCCAGATGGCTCTGGAGGAGAGAGTGAGACTGGGGACTTTGCACAGCCCTGCCTCACTTAAATCTAATTTACTTTCAAGTCATGGCCTCACCTTCCTGATGTCATGATCCTCTTGAAGAACCAAGGACGAAACAATGACAATGACCAGGCCTTCAAGTAGTGCTAAAAAAAAAAAATAAGTGGAACCTGAGAGTTCTTTTCCCCTAAGCTTGAACGTGGGTTCCTCTTAACAATTCTGCTTCTGTTACTTAATCCCTGTCTGACTTTGGACAGCTCACTTCCTCTGTCTGCTTCTGTTTCCTCTTCTGTAAAAAAAATGAGTGACTCCAAAGGTTCTTCCACCTGGTTGACTTCTTAAAGAGGGTTAGAATGCAACCTACCTCGAGGCCTCAGTTTCCCTTCTGGTAACATGCCCGGGGGGCCCAGTTTCAGTGTAGTCTCTTCAGAGTCTCTGATTCCACTGCTCCTGAAATTTTACTTTCTCTGCCAGACTTTGTCTCCTTCCCTTGGCATTGACTGCCCCTGGTGCCTGGAATGGTGTTCCTCCTCAGTCTTCCTCTTTGAATTCCTGGCTTCCTTCAGAACTCAGCTCAAGTACCTTTTACATCGGAGGGTCTCGAGATTTTTGGTGTCTGGACCCCTTCCCCACACTTTTATTTATTTGGATTAAATCTATTGATATGTACTATATTAAAAATGAAAACTGATAAATTTTGAAAATTATTGCCATTAAAATAATCCTAAATCATTATATCTTAACATAAATGATCTATTTTTTCTGAAAATAAGTATATTTAGTTATAATAAAGAATATTTGGTGTGAAATAAAGTTTTATATGAACAGTAGCATCATTTTACATATTTTTGCAAACTCTTTCATGTCTGATTTAATAGAAACTAGATGGACTCTTACATCTGCAGATATCATCTATTGCCATATATTGCTTTGGTTGTATTTGGAGACAATCTGGTCATAGAAAGGTTGACATCTGCATTAGTGGAGGGAGTTTCCACACTGGGATTTCCCTGGGCTACAAAGTCACAGATCTTTTGTATATGTATGTATCTCAGTGACCTGTGTCTGGCACTGGCCTTCCATGGAGGAAAAATAACCAAAGTCTGATTGAAAGGGTGAAGGGGGAGTGGTTTGAAACAAGAATAGAAAAGTAAATTGATAACATACTAGGAGAAGAATAGTATGAAACACTTTTTAGTGATTATAATACCTGCTATTTCTGGGGTGTTTTAAGGTTTGCAAAGCACTTTGTAGACCGTATCTCACTGGATCCTCATAACAGTCCCGTAAGGCAGGTACCACAACTATGTTATTCCCACTTTTACAGATGAGGAAACTGAGGGCAAGTGACTTACCCATTGTCATACAGGTAGGAAGGTGGGATTTGAATCCAGCCCTAGCCTGACTCTGAATCGAGCCCTATGTTCGCTTCACCACAATGCCTCTTTCCCCACCTCCCCTATCTTGGAATTCTTGACTTTTCTTTTTCTTTACTAACTCTGAGCAACTTCTCTCTATTTTTTGTTGTTCGGTTGTTTTTCAGTTGTGTCTGACTCTTTGTGACCCCATCTGGAGTTTTCTTGGTAGAGATGTTGGAATGGTTTGCCATTTCCTTCTCCAGCTCATTTTCCAGATGAGAAAACTGAGGCAGAATGAAGTGACTTGCCCAGGGTCACAAAGCTAGAAAGTGTCTAAGACTGGATTTGAACTCAGGTCTTCCTGACTCCTGGCTTAGTGCTCTATCCACTGCGCCACCTAGCCACTCACATTTTCTCTATACACCCATTGAAAATGTCACCGGTGTTCCTTATGAGTATGATCTAAGCCTACGTTCAATGGCCAACTCCTCCAGGAAGCCTTTCTTGATCCTCATCTTCTTTTGTCTACTTACCCCATTAATTTATATAAAATGTGTATTAACTTATTTGGCATATGTTTTTCTCTCATATATCTCACCCCCAACTGGTAAAATGCAAGTTCCTTGAGGTTAGGGACTATTTCCTTGACTGCCACATAGTAAGCACCTCATAAATGCTTTTTAATTAATATTACATCCCGACCAGTAGAATGTGTGATTTTTGAGAGCAGGGACACTTTAATTTTTTTCTTTGTATTGAGGTATCTGTTTGGCTACTCTTCGGACTTGGAGTCAGGAAGACCTGAATTCAAATCCTCCCTTGGATATTTACTCGCTGTGTGACCCTGGGCAAGTCACTTCACCTCTACCTGCCTCAGTTTCCTCATCTGTAAAATGGGAATGATATTCGCATCTATCTCCCAAGGTCATTGTGAGGACCAAATGAAATAATAATATCAAAGCGTTTTGCAAACATTACATTGCCATATAAATGCTAGCTATTATTTTTGTTTTATTTCCTTACGTGTACTTTTAATGGACAAGGAAATAGTAAGTTAGAATGGGCTAGAATTCTTGTTGTATGAGAGAAGTCACATCCTCCATCTGACTTACTTCTGTGTGTTTGATCTCATGTTCCTGATTGTACATAATGAGATCTTCCGACTGTTAAGAGCTTGTAAGGTTTCGTCTGTCTGAATCCATTGGTCTCTTTCCTTCTCAGACAAGATGGAGGCCAGAGATAAGCAGGTTCTCCGCTCACTTCGGCTGGAACTGGGTGCCGAAGTCCTCGTGGACGGACTTGTTCTTCAGTATCTCTACCAGGAAGGGATCTTGACGGAAAACCACGTTCAAGAAATCAGAGCCCAACCCACAGGCCTCCGGAAGACCATGATGCTGTTGGATATCCTGCCTACTCGAGGCCCCAAAGCCTTTGACACCTTCCTCGATTCCCTGCAGGAATTTCCCTGGGTGAGGGAGAAACTGGAGAAATCCCGGGCGGAGGCCATCCAAGAGACGCCCACAGGTAGGCTCAAAACCATTTCCTCCGAGTGGCTGGGGATGCTCTATCTTGGCTCTCAGTCTTGGAAAGTTGGAGATTCCTGGTGTTGATCAAGAAGGAATGAGGGAAGGACCATCTGGCTCGAGACCATTCTGAGGAGATAAGTGGGAATTAGGGAATGCTGAGGTCTGTCTGGCAGCGAAGCTAGAGAAAAGTTTTAGAGTTTCTTTCCTTGAGAATTTGGCAAGCCAAGGGGAAGCCACACTTTCATTGAGAAGGCGAGTGGTCTTTTGGTAGTTGGGAGCATTTGGAGATTGAGGTTGGAAACCTGGGCTACCAGGTGCCTTTTTGTGTGTGGTTTCAGGACTGCTGGCTAGTAAAGGCTTATCACTGGTCGCGTCTGAAGGAAGAAAGCCCCTCCAGCCTCCCATGGGTAACCCGTGGCTGTTCCTTAGTCTGGAGACTCATGTCAAACCCCAAGCCTTTTTAAGATTGGCGTCTTTTGTTTGAAAAGGTTGTCAGTTTGAAATTTGCCTTAGTCCTACTTTACTAAAACCCCTGGAGGAGATGAGTTGGTTGTGGGCACTGTTTCAGGGGAAATGTCCATGTTGCTTTCAGGCAAGTTTGAAAGCCTGGAACAGCAAGATGTTAAATCCTGAAATGTGTTCTCTTCTATATTCTGCCAATATTCGTGCTGTCTCCCAAGAGAAAAAAACAGAGCTGAATTGCTTTATAAAGAGACAATCAGAAATTGTTTTGCATTATTCTTCAATTTATTTTTCATGTATATATATATGCATGCATATATAATATATATGCATATGCGTGGCATATATGTGTGTGTGTGTTTTATTGATGCCTTTTTTCCCCCATCACTCTCATTTACAGACATCTCCTTTTCCACGCTCCCCCACCTCTACTGAGCTATCACCACTGAGCTGTACCTTTTAATAAAGTATAGAGAAGAGGCGATTAGAGAAACCTCCGATTGGTTTAATGAGTTCATGAGTTCACATGATGAATTTACTGGGTATGGATGTTTGTTAGACTGGAGTACCTTCTATAGGGACATGGGCCTTGTGAGGAGGAAACCGTGCGTTCCTGTGTTCCATAGTGATTGGAGTTGTTTCTTAACGATTAGTAGATTGTGACCCAGTGGGCCTCCTGATCCCATTGGAACCTCTCTTTCTGTAGCCTATAAGAGATCAGAGGAAAATGGCTCCATCCATCCCTTTTGAACCCTTCTCAAGTGATTTCTCTACCTTGTTTATTCAGACTGAGTGTCACACAAGAAAAATTAGCTAAGCAAAACCAGCAGATGCAAGAACCATGACCGACAGTGTATGCAATGTTCTATACCCATAGACTCCCATCTCTCCAAAGAAAGGAATTGTTTCCTTAGCTCTTCTCAGGGTCAAGCTTGGTTATCACAATTTTACTATTTGGCTTCGTTTGAATATTTTTGTTTATATTATTGGAGTCATTGTTTTTCTGATTCTCTGGCTTGCATTTTTTTTTAAATCTAGAAAATGAACATTTTTATTATCTGGTAGTCATCACAGTTGTATGATGTGAAGTCTGGAATCCATTTCTGTCATTTTTCTGTAAAGACAGAAGTAGGCACGGGCTCAAGGAATTTTAGAACCACAATGAACCTCAAGATCATTGGGTCCAATGTCTTAATTTGAGAAATGGGGAAAATGAGGTCCAGGTAGAGAGAGAGTTGCTCACTTCAGGATCATACAGATAATAATGGTAGAACTCAATCTCAGACCCAAGTTTCCTGACTCAAAAGTCCAGTGATCTTTCCCCTAAAATACGAGCTCTTAACATGGAGTCTGTGAACTTGTTTTCCTAAAAAAATAAAAATAATAATTATATTCCCATAGAACTGGTCTCCTTAGTAATCCTCTGTGTTCTGCTTTATGTATTTAAAAACATAACTCTGAGAAGCAGACTAGGAGCTTCACTAGATGGCCCAGGGAATCTAGGGCACACAAAATAGTTTGATTCCTTGCCCTGTAATGAGTTATCTTTCTGTGTGTTTATAGTTTATAGTCATGCTTCTTTTGTAATAATCCTGCGAGGTAGGCACAGAAAGCTTAATTTCCATTTTACAGATTAGGAAACTGACTCTCAGAGAAGCAAAGTGACTAGCCCAGAGTCACACCAAGTTACTCAAACTTGGGTCCACTCCTCTTTCTAGTATACCACATTGGTCCTCTGGAGTTGGCATTGGACCTGAAAGTCAGCAACAATGTGGTGAAAAATTCAGGGCTCGCCTTGTCCTCTTGTCTTTGTTCAGGCCTTTGCCTCAATTAACAAGTCAACACTCAGAAAAAAAGAAAACTGAATAGAGTTTATTTAAAAATACAATAAAGTAGCAAGTCGATTCCTAGATATCAGCAAGGGATTTGGGATGGAGCCAGCTTTTATTGATAGCTTTTGTAATGAGATAAAGACAATTCGAAAACGTGCAGGTCAGCAGAAGGGGATGGGCTCCTCTCCAAATGTGGTATCATAAGGAATGAGATTATAGCTAATGGGAGTGGGCTTCTAACATGCTGGCTAACAGGTAGGGGAATACTTGCTATGTGCTAGATAGCTGCAGACTGGGTGATGCATCTCCCACCATTGATTAACAAAGTACCCAGAAAACAAGCCAGACTAGAGACAATGGGGGTCTCTCCCTAAGTTTTAATAGTCTCCTGGTTGACCTCTTCTTTGGTTGAGCAGATACACACACACGTCATGGCAAATGCTAGATGGAAGCCAGGCCATATTTCCTCTCATAATATTTAGTTTTCTGAATTGGGATTCCCTTTGGGGCAAAGAAACCATCCCTCTCAGATGTACCTTTTTTTGAAAGCATAGGTGATTCTTTCTTCAAGCTTTAGACTCAACAAAAGAAATAATAGCTACTTTTGAAAGATGGTAGTAAGGCTGTATTCACAGACAGCTTGGATGAAAGTGGGGCCATCTTGGTGGGCTTCTCATTCTGCCCCAAGGATAGGGGAAAAAGAGAAGCCATTTTTGCTAACCAGTGAAGTCAAGCCAACTGGGTGAGAAGGGGGAAAACAAAACAGTAACGTGGAGCAAACAGAGACAAGTCAGATGATGGCAGCCACATTCCTGACGTCCTCTTAGAGGTTTCACAAAGTGATGTTTTTGCCAAGTGCTGTTGATTTTTCATGGTGGTCAGTGGAGATAGTGGGCAGCACCAAGGGAAGCCTGGCCGTTGATTGGCCTGGCCTGACTTTATGGCATTGCCACTGAGAACAGCTTTCTACAAAGGCGGCCCAGTGTATACACATGTGCCCTGGAGAAGTTGGTTTTCATCCAGCTAGGTTTTGGACAATTTACAGCTGCTTGTAAGTGTTAATATTTATTTATTTTATCTATTTATTTTTGAGGGGGAAGAATGGAAGAAATGACTGATTGTAAGATGAGCTTTTAAAAAGAAGCCATATGATGGAAAATTGGTATCTTAGAAATCAAACCACTCTGAGTTCTAAGGGCAGGGCTTTACCATTTTCAAGAGCCTGCCTTTCTTTGTGATAGTTGGGACTCAAATAATTTTTCCCTCTTTGGAATATGTACATATCTGTCTATCTGTCTGTCTCTCTGTTTATCTATCTATCTATCTATCTATCTATCTATCTATCTATCTTTGAGTGTATATATACATGTACAGATATATGAAATATATATTTAGACTATATATCCACTATGTCAATATATACAAATTATATATGTGCTATATAGAAAAGTATATATCCTCTCTCTCTATATGTTATATGTATGTATATTCCCTCCCCTCATTACAAACATATTTAGTCAAGCAAAACAAATTCTTACATTGTCCATATCTTTAAACACACACAGACACACACACACAGACACAGACACACACACACACACACAGACACACACACACATAGACTCCCTCAATCTGTACTCAGAGTTCATTACTTTTCTATCTGGAGGTAGATAGCATGTTTCACCATGTTATTGTTGTCCTCCTCTCTGTGGCCCCATAGAGTTTTCTTGGCAGAGATACTGGAGTGGTTTGCCATTTCCTTCTCCAGCTTATTTTACAGATTCAGGAAACTGAGGCAAACAGGGTGAAGTGACTTGCCCAGGGTCACATGGCTTAGCAATTATCTGAGGCTGGACTTGAATTCAGGCCTTCCTGGCTACAGGCCTGGCCCTCCATCCACTGCACCATCTAGCTTCCCCTTTCATTGTGGGGTCTCGATTAATTGGAAAGCAGTAGATTATTTTTGCGAATGGAGCAAAGAGCAGCAGTGTTTAGATGCCTTCCAGTTGATGTTCTTGTAAGAACCCAGAGGCTCATCTGCTAGGACCTTCATGCCTCCTATAAAACAAAACAAAACAAAAAACTGTCATTATGAGATTTTAAAATAGTTTATTTATACTTTATTTTTAAAAGGATGTTTGGGCTCTGAAGGTCCAGACAATAGGAAGATGCGATCCTCTTTTCCATTGAATTTATCCAGCCCCATCTTTATTCTCCCTAGTGGCAAGAAAATGGGATTTTGATTGAGAGGAATCAGGTTTGAATCCCAGCCCAGCTCCTCAGTAGCTGTGTGTCCTCAGGCAGGCCACTTAATTCTCTGGGTCACAATTTCCTTCTTTGTAAAATAAAAAGGTTGGATCCTGTGGTCTCAAGAGCCCTTCTGTTTTTAAACCTATGGCTCTGTGATTGTGAGATCATTCGATTGTACAGATTCGGTGCTCTCTTTTTGGAAGGGCTGCTGTCCCGAGATGTGTGTTTTCCCTTTGGCCCAGTAGATTCTCTGTTCCTAGAATGAAACCAGTCTATTTTATTAGGAAGAGAAAGTTGGGGTTTTTTGTTTGTTTGTTATTTCTCTGACGTTGAGTTTCAGAATTTTTTTTTCCCATTCTAAGTTCTGACCTAGTTCAGAGGCCTCATTTGGTGATAGCATCTATTTGATTTTTCTGTTTTGTAGTTTGGGGTCTGGTGTTATTTCATGTGGCAT